CGTTTAGGATAGATCTCACGTACGGCTCGCCTGGGAAAACCCCTTTGGGGAGGAAGGCAACCAAGCTTTCCTGCTGCAGGAGTTGATTCCTGGGGAACGGCATCACCTGAACCCTGCAGCGACCCAGAAATCGGGCTGCTCCTCTTGCACATGGCCACGGCAGAGCCGCGGGAGCAGAGCAGCCCCTTGGGTGAGGCTGAGGAAAACCGCGGGAGGCAAAGGCAAGATTTCAGCTGGAAAAGAGATTAGAAAAGCAGCAAAGGGCTTAAAGGGCTCCTGGAGAGGAGACGTCCACGCAAAGAGCGATTGAAAATGTTGCCCGTTAAATACTCCGAAGGTAAATCATGCGGCTCTGTGTCTCGGCATGGCCGCTCTCCTGTTTCCCGTGGGATTTTCAGTCTCTTCTTCGGCTCCTCTGTTAGTGGCTGAGATGCTTTAGTGCACGTTTGCTCTGTGCCTGGAAGAGGAGCCAAGACCAGGAGCGATGGAGGGGGAGCAGCTCTTCAGCATCCCTGCTAAAAAATAAAAAGGCAGCTATTTTTCATTTTTTTTTTTTTTTTTTCCCTTTACCCTAACTCACTGTCTCACGCATTGCAGGCTGTCCCGCTAGTGGGGAGCGTTTGCCATGGACAACGGTCACGTAAGCAGATACCGCTTAAGCGGTGAGTACTTCTGAGCCAGCCCTGGGAAGGGATTTGGGGGCAGAGCTGGCTGGGGCTCGCACGCCGAGCTGCGCTCGGGGGGGATTGCTGATCCTCGCTGCTTTCTGCAGGAGGAGGAACCCTTTGCTGCACACGCACGTGGGGGTTTACTTTCCTAATACAAGGGTAAACCCCTTAAAACCCCCAAGCTTTCCAACATCAGGTGCTCAGCCCTAGGAAACGGGCAGGTACGAGTCGGAAGCAGGTTTCCAGCTCAGCTGGGATTTGTACCTGGAGTTATTCAGAAGTAGGAGCCAGTAAAGGGTAATTTTGCCCCAGTTTTGCCCCCCTGCATGTGAACTCCTTGGAGCTGGATGGTACCGAAAACCTCCGGTGTCCTAGAAAGCTGCAGCGCTTCCCCCAGCATCCTTAGCCGGGATGCGGGGGATGAACCACAGCTCTTGGCCCAGGTCGTGGGGGGCTTGGGCTGGGGTGGAGGAAGCAGGACCTGGCTCCTGCCCCGGGGCTTTAACCCGCCAGACCCCTCTGGGCTCCTCCCGGCCCTCTGGAGGGATCAAAATTCGGCGCTTTGGATGCGAATAGTTGGTTCCTTCTGCTGCCTCCCTTTGCTGGCTCCTGCCGGAGGAGGGCTGGGGGGAAGCGGCGGGCTGTCCCTCTGCTTGGATGTGATGTGGGAGTAAGCCTGGCTTGGGCTTTTTCTGGCTCTGAAGCTGCTGCTGAAGGAGGGAGCGCCACGGCGTGACGCGGGAGGACTCCCCGGCAGTTCTCTGTAATGAGAAATCTTTTTTTTTTCCCCCCCTTTTTTTGTGTTACACTGAGAGATTGGTGTCGGTTCAGTCGCTGGTGTGATGGAGGCTGGTGCAATGCAGCAAGGACTGCTCGGTGTACCATCGCAGGGCTGCTGTGTCCTCCCCGCTTTGCAGCTGCAAGCTTGGGCTTTCTCCTCGCTGGTTCACAGCAGCAGCACTTGTGGGGTTTTTTTTTCCCCTGTTTCCAAAAGCTTTTCCCCCCCCCCAAAAAAAAGAATTTCCTTGGCATCCCAAGCCTGTGGGAAAGCAGGCGGCAATGAGGGTTTCCCTGTGGTGGAAAGGGCGATGCAGATGTGTGCCGAGCACATCTGCGAGCGGGACGGATCCGTAGCTGGTGAAAGGACCCCCCGCACCCCGGGGGTGATGCGGCCATTCACTGGTTTTCCTTGTTTGCTGGGGAGCAGGGCTGAAATAGAGGTGCACTTCGCCTCCCGGGGAAGCAAAGTGAGGACTGGGGGTATTTTTGGGTTTGCAAAGCTGCTGCCTGACCCCATTTGCAGCCTGCCCAAGTGGGATGCTGTTGTTTATCCCCCGCCTTGGCTGATCCCATCCTCAGCTTAGAGCCGAGTTTCTGGCGTGGAAGCAGCAGAGGACGAAGCCTCTGCCCCGGGCTTGCGGCCGGCTCACCCTGCCTCTTGTCTCCCCCCTCGCAGTCACCACGAGCCCCCCTCGGTGGGAGATCGGCATCTACGCTGCCGGTGCCTTGGCGCTGCTGGGGATTGCTGCCGTCAACCTCTGGAAGCTCTGGCGCTCCGGCAGCTACCCGGCACCTTCCCCCTTCCCCAACTACGACTACCGATACCTGGAGCAAAAGTACGGGGCGGCGTATTCGGACGTCAAACACAAGGTAAAAGGGCGGAAAGTTTGGCTGTGCCTCCTTTCCCTTTGCAACACATGAGCTGCTGGAGGGGCAAAAATATCACCTGCATCCTCTCACAGGGGGTAAAGCCATGGGTGATGACCTGGTGCTGCTGGAGAGTTTGGGGGGATCAGCGCGGAGCTGGTAAACAGGGCTTGGGAGCTGCGGGAGGTGCAGGGCTTGCCGCTGCAGCAGCTTGAGGCCAAGCAGGGGCTGTAAGGCATCCAAAACGGCGCCGGTGAATCCCAGCTGTCCCTGGCTTTGTGCGAAGGGCTGGGATTGCATCGCCTGGTTTTCCTTTCCCTGTTCACAGCGAGGGATGGCCCCGGGCTCGCAGAGGGGGCTGGATAAGACCTCACCCATCCGCAAGACCAGCCTGCGGGCAGACGACACCTTCGAGAGCATTAATGAGCTGGGGAGCCTGGAGCTGATGAGCAAAGACCTGGGCTTGACCTCCTACGGCCCCTTGAAGAAATCCATCTCGGCCGACTCCCTCAGCTCCATCTCCTCCATCGGGAACAACTTTGGGCAGGATTTCACGGTGGGGCAGGTGGAGGTCTCCATGGAGTATGACGGGAAAGCGGCCACCTTGCACGTGACGCTGCTGCAGGGCAAGGACCTGCTGGAGAAGGAGGACGCTCGCTTCGAGTCCTGCTTCATGCGCATCAGCCTGCTCCCGGCCGAGCAGATCGTCGGCATCTCCCGGGTGAGCCGCTCACCCCTCTCGGCACGAAACCCCCGTGCGCGTATGCGGCATCGCTCGCCATGTGCCGCTGCTTTTGGGTCGCAGCATCCCTTGGCCAAGCTCCCCAAGCCAGCGATGGGGCCCTGGGAGCCGGGAGGTCCGGACCCGTTGGGGCTGGGTGCAGCTGGCACAGGATTTTGGGAGCCCCGCTCGGGGGGTTTCAGCATTCTGCCATGTCGGGGGGTCCCGGATGGGTTTGTGCATCAAGGACTTGGCAGAGGCAGAAATTTCTCCCTCTGGACTGGGATGTGTGATGACTTTGTTGTCTCTGGGCGTGCCTTGCGGCAAGTTTTCCTGCTTGACTTTCCCTGCTCCGGGGCCGGGGATGCTGCGGAAGGCCGGGGATGCTGCGGAAGGTGGAGGATGCGGTCTGGGGCGGGATTTGGGGAGAGGCCGCGTTCTGGGCAGGTGCTGCTGGCGTCGGTCCGCGTCCCCGCACACTCGATTCACCCTAACGAAGCCCAGCGCGGCACCCACAGCCGCCTCTCCTTTCTGCGGCAGCCGGGATGCTTTCTCTCCCCACGCGGGATGCGGTGACCGAAGAGCCGGGCGGCTGCACCGGCAGGGCCAGAACCAGGGGTGTTTTGGGGGTGAAACCTCCTTTTTAAGTGCCCCAAAAGCTGCTTTCAGAAAGTGGGAGCCTCAGTTTTCTTTCAGCAGCTGCTTTTTGCAAAGCTCAGGGTCAGCCAGTTTGATTTAATCAGGCTATTCCAGAAAGGAGCAGAAAGCTCCATCCCCCTGAAGAAACTTTTCCCCAGGGGTGGGGGTACCATTCCAGTGAGCACAAAACCACTGCCTTTAAAATATTTCCACAGTGCCCTTTTAAGGCCATTTTTCCATCCAAAGATCAGGCTCTTTATTTATGCTCTGGAGATATTTATTATTTAGCATCATTATTTATAATTCACCAGCGCTATTTACCCTCTTTTGCTGTTCTGAGACAAGTCATAAAGACACATTCGGTTCTCTTCCTTTAATGCTTTACAGTACTTAGGGGTTGTTTTTGTTTTTTAAATAGCAGCTAGCATTTCTGTTGTAATTTTCATCCAGAGATCCCAAAATACGATGTTGGCTGCAGACAGCTAGTCATCAGTGCTGCGAAGTGGGTAGCTGCACCTCTGCTTTGCCCAGAGGCACTTCAGTCCCCAGGGACTGTGGCGGGCGGTGGTCTCCGATGGGAAGGGTGGGAGCGCTGCGCTAGGAAGGGGTTGGTGGGAGGTGCCGCCTTGTGCGCTGCTTCGTGTCCTTCATCCCAGGGATGGAGCACGTCTAGGAGAAGACAAACAGGCAGGAGAAAGTCCTTGGGATGCGCTGACCCATCTCCCCACCGCTGCTGGGGACTCCGGGCGGCTCTTGGGGTGATGAAGCCCGACAGGCTCAGGGCTGAGCCCCCCGGTCCCGCAGCGGGATCCCTGCTCCACCGCAGCACCCACCTCAGGATGGGTAGCGGGGAGCTGGTGGCTCCGCTTTGCTCTGCACCATCCAAGGCTGCGGCTTTCCACCCCCTGGGAGCACCGGGCCTCCTTTTAACCCCTGATTTGTGGGTGGTGCCTTGGATGCCGAAAGAAGCAGGGCTGGAGTAGGGGCAAAGCAGTCGCTACGGCCGTGATTTCAGAGCAGTTCCCCCACCAGCGCTTTGGGACCAGGCAGTGACCAGCACCCTGCAGGATGGGGCCCCGGAGAGCTGCTGCTGTGTTTGCTCCAAGTGAATGACGTGAGGTAGAGACGATGTCTGGCAAAAAGCTTCGTCCCCATGGGGCACATCTAGGGGCTGCGAAG